ACTAAACCATGCCACCCAAGGCTCTGTCCAACCTGGCCTTGAACACCGCCAGCGATGGAGCATTCACAAACTTCCTTGGGCAACTCATTCCAGTGCCTCACCACCCTTACAGTAAAGAACTTCTTCCTTATATCCAATCTAAAATTCCCCTGTTTAAGTTTGAACCCGTTACCCTTGTCTTGTCACTACAGTCCCTAATGAAGAGTGTCTCCCCAACATCCCTATAGGCCCCCTTCAGATACTGGAAGGCTGCTATGAGGTCTCCACGCAGCCTTCCCTACTCCAGGCTGAACAGCCCCAGCTTCCTCAGCCTGTCTTCATATGGGAGGTGCTCCAGCCCCCTGATCATCCTCGTGGCCCTCCTCTGGACTTGTTCCAACAGTTCCATGTCCTTTTTATGTTGAGGACACCAGAACTGTACACAATACTCCAAGTGAGATCTCATGAGAGCAGAGTAGAGGGGCAGGATCACCTCCTTCGACCTGCTGGTCACTCTCCTTTTGACGCGGCCCAGGATACGGTTGGCTTTCTGGGCTGCAGGCGCACGCTGAAGCCGGCTCGTGTTCATTTTCTCATCCACCAACACCCCCAAGTCCTTCTCCACAGGGCTGCTCTGAATCCCTTCTCCACCCAACCTGTAGCTGTGCCTGAGATTGCTCCGAAACAGGTGTAGGACCTTGCACTTGTCATGGTTAAACTTCATAAGGTTGGCATCTGCCCACCTCACAAGTGTGTCAAGGTCCCTCTGGATGGCATTCCTTCTCTCCAGGGTATCAACCGAACCACACAGCTTGGTGTCATCGGCAAACTTGCTGAGGGCGCACTCAATCCCACTGTCCATGTCAGCGACAAAGATGTTGAACAAGACCTGTCCCAACACCGATTCCTGAGGGACACCACTTGTTACTGGTCTCCAGCCGGACATTGACCCATTGACCACAACTCTTTGTGTGCAGCCATCCAGCCAGTTCTTTATCTACCAAGTGGTCCATCTATCAAACTGATGTCTCTCCAATTTAGAGACAAAGTCAGCCATTAGCCATTTAGAGACAGTCAAGCCATTACAGAACAGATGCACTTGACTGCAGAAGAAGTCACTCATAATAGGATTTGCAGACAAGCACACAGGGAGGACAATGCTGTCATATTTAAACTTCTTCAGAAGAGAAGTCCATTCAAACAGTGTTGGTTAATACAGAGAGCAGCTACTGCTCAGTCAGAGTTCTGGGTTCCTGATGAATATCAACTTAAAGTTTGCTAACAGTGAGAATCGGCAGTTTCTGACTCAGCTTATTAATGCAGAGCTCAGGAGGGAGTGTTAAACCATCACTTCGTAACCTGAACAACTATTGCTAGAGCCAGGCTGCATCCTGGAGGTACTCTGGAAGAAAAGCATATTTTCTGTGTCTCTTTTGTTATTGTTGTTGTTTTTTCCCCTCCTCAAAATAAAACAGTAGGGTTACGACACATTCGGGTACCATCAACTCAAGCAACACTTCTAGTAAAATATGTAGTTCTATCTATTTGAAATCAGCTATTCAAAGCAATCAAATACAATATAAAAAGACACTTTTTTTCCAGTAATCTCAGCCTGAGGCTTTTGGAAATTTTGTAGGTAATAAGCAACTGACACTATCTCTTCCTCCCCATTGAGAACATGATATAAGCCAGCCTGGCTCAAGCTGTCAGTATTTCAAGGAAAGCAGGTTTTCCCCAGTGTGATGAATTTATATTTCTTCCCCACGTTGCATTGAGATCTACAACCTCACTGTCTTTTAAGAGTTTGCCCTTCTTTTTTAGGGTATAAAAGCTTCAATGACAGAAAGAAAAATATTAACATCTATAACACTCCTAAATTCTCATGAGCCGTTGTCATGCATGTTAAATTTCAAGATTACTGAAGTGTCTTTGAAACAAGTGGTTTTCCTGCTGAGCTTTAACAATAATAAATACAGATTATGCAAGCAGAATCAAAAGTTTCAGGCAAGCTCTTATAATACAATGAAAACCTGAAAATTTATATTCCAGAATGGACAGAACAGTCCATTGAAGATTGTCTTAACACATGTCTATCTGGAAGTCATTTGGACACAGGGAATATGCAATGCAAAGTATCTAATTGTAAAAATTTGCCACAACCATCTTTAAAATATCTTAATACTGAAAGTACTTTACTTGAACAATGACATTTATAAGCAAGTATTTTAGTTTTTCTCTGTATAGTCAAAAACTTTTTGAATACTACATGAAAGGAAAACAGTTGTAATAGGATTACTGTTAGGCATTGAAAACTTGGAAAGCACAAACTCAGTTCAACAGGTTAAAAGTAAACCTAGTGGAGTCAAAAAGTGTTGGTTTTAAATAGATAATTTGGGCCATACATAGAAAAGTAAGAACAGATATGCTCTGTTCTATTGTTCAAAGGAAAGACTCATAGATTGTCTTTGATAGAAACACAGTAGTACACAGGAAGTCATAGCTCAATGAAAGCAAACTCCAAATAAGCAATACAGGAAAGTGATTTCCTTCACACTAGAGTTAACCTCTTTTAGAACAAGGGTGACTTTATTTGGTTTAGTGTAAATTTCGAAGTGACAAACTCAATTAAAGTTACCTGTATTCCAGAATAAAAGTCTCTGCACAAAACTTATAGCTGTATCTGGTCAAAATCATGCTCAGTCTTGCTCCGCCATGACTTTTCTGAACAAGCAGTCCTAAAATGTGGACCCATCATGATCATGATCAGTGTAATGCTTGCTTTTATGGAATATATAGAAAGACTGAACCCAAACATTTGCCGACAAGTTTAAATCTAATCATCTGTATGTACTAATATGTCTAATTTAATAAAAAAACAGTTATTAAAAGCTTCTTTATCATTTATAGTTTCCCAAGAAGTTCTGAGGTCAGTCAGTAACCCCACCTATTTCCAGAAAAGCAAGACGAGAAGTTGTCACATAGATTCTGCTCCCTTTCAGTGCAAGTAAAATATGAAGAACAGAAGCAGCATTAGATGAAAGCTTAACTCTCTTTAGGGGTAAAACAAAAGATACTCAACATGCCATAGGTTAACTTTTGATGAATATTTGGAAATAAATTTAAAATACTAATCCTGTTTTTTTCTTAAATGAATATTTTGAAAAAGTAGAAGTCGGTTTCAGAGAGCTATGTTATTCATAGCCATTTCATAAGAAGAAGGAATTAAAATTAAGACTCAAACATTTTGCTTCCTCATTTCTTAAGCATGGTTCTAAATAAATAACAACAAGACTCAATGTTGATGATTTCTTAATATGCATTCATTATAAATATGTTTAGTCAATTAGCACAGTATTTCACAGACCACAGTTGCAGGGCTGGCAAGCTGAAGATCTAACATGGCTCACTGGCAAAAATACCATTTCACACATTGCCAGTTTGCTGGTACTGGAAGAGCAATCAAACCAAGTTCTTCTTTGCACACATGACAACAGTCCATGTAAAGCCAATCGACTGATACTACTTAATGAAGTTTCGCACATGCAGAGAAACAGAAATCCAGTTCATTCTTCCAACTGGCATCAGCCCTACGTCTCTAACAAGTAATAAGCAAGCATTCCCATTTTAGTCATTTAAAAAACCAAAACAGATACCCAACAACCTGAAGCGCAAGTATCTCACCGTCAGAACTGCAAATACGTATTTCAAACACCCACAAAACATGGCATTATATCTGATGCCTGTTCAACTCTAGCAAAGTGATACTTCGTATTTTCCTAGCAAAGAATATAAACCCCTAATAGGTTTCTTTGGGGAATGCTGTATCACCCTGCAGTGCTAACTTTGGTTAAAGAGAAGCAAAATACAATCTGTAACTTTCAACTACCTTTTTCCTTTCAGGTACCCATTCCCTAGCTGAGATAAAACCACCAAGTGTCACACTGTAACAGCACAGAACTGCTAATTGTTAACAGTAACTGGAAAGACAAGAGTTCAGCCCCCGAAGAAAGTTCAAAGAGAGTTCTCTCTACCAAGATGACAAACATCTGACTTAAAATAGGCAGGTGTTATAGTAAGAGTCTGTAAACATTAACAACTTAACAGTAGCCTTATTACATAACTTCTTAAACATCACACACAGCACCCTCAAAACCCTACACTGAATATTTGTTGCCTGGGAAAGCCTTCCCCCTCATTGGGGCAGTGATTTAGAGAGCAGAGTATATGTTGTGCTTTCTTTGGAGTTCTTACTGTTGCCCATACTGCAAACAACAAGCGCTGAAGCAAATGCCTCAGATGATCAACGGTCTTATTTCATCTATTAACCCAAAGTGCAACAGGCAGATCTTAAAATTCTGCTGAATGAAGGTGCTGAAAGGATCAGAGGTTATCCGTTCCTGCTATTTATTAGTACATTATTAGTAGTAAAAACACCTGAAGATATATGGACTCCTCAGAACAGAAATAGTCATTTCCACTTCATGGGTAATGAGACTAAAAGCATTTTAAAGAAAAGTCTAAAGCTACAGTCTAACTATACAAAGTGATGTAAAAGTAAAGAAGAATCAGCAAAAAAGCCTGTCTCTTCACCAAGTTTTCAGTCAGCAAACCCAAACGCCTTTAGAAACATCAGATGCTTATAAAACTTTGTACAAAGCACTTACCCTACAAGAAGTTTTAAAAAAAAAGAAAACTCACAAGAACAAAATGCAGATTGTTAACGCAGACTTTTAATGAACACTGAGCTAATCGTTCAGAAAGTCAGCAGAACTTCGACTCCGAAGACAGAATTATTAGAATAGGTCTTGTTACCTGTGCAATCGCGTGGATCACAGAAATAGCAAAAAAAAAAAAGGGGGGGGGGAAGGGGGGAACAAAGAAAAAAAAGGCACAAATTTCACACTTTCCCAACCTCACTCAGCCACCTCCCCTCCAAAAAGAAAACAGGTCTGCCACATTGCCACATCCCCATACCCCGGGGCTGGGAAACACTGGTTGAAGGGCAAGAAGGTGCGCATTACCTGCCAGCGGCCGTAGCTGAGCAGCAGGAGCGCCAGGGGGATGGCGGTGCCCGACATCGCGTGAGTAGAGGGCATGCTGTACTCCGAGTTGTAGAACACTTCCAGCTTCACCACAGGCGGGGAGGCAGGCCGCGGCCAGCGGATGACATCCTTGGTGCACTGCCCCAGGTACATCACCCATACCCAGATGATGATAAGCCTCCGGCCCAGCCAGGCGTCCAAGTTCCAAATGCAGAAGGGGAAGAAGAGGATGTAGAAGAGCTCGTTGCCGAGCTCCGTGCCCAGGCTGAAGAGATAGTAGAGGAAGCGACTACGGGTGGAGAACTCCTGGCTGCCGTCCTCCTCCGTGAGGGAGTTGCGCCGCGGCCTCCTCCACCGCTGCGGGGGACCCGCCCCAGCGGGCACAGTCCCGTTCCCGGCGGGATGCTCCTGCCCTCCCGCCCGCCCCGCGGCCGGCGGGCTGCCGTTAGCCACCGGCCCCCGGGCTCCGGCTCGCTGCTCCGCATCGGCCCAGCCCGTAGGCCCCTCCACCCCGCAGAGCCGCTGGAAGGCGGCCACTTTCTGTGGGTCTTGCAGGTGGGCGGCCAGCCGGGACAGGCGCCGGCAGAGAGCCATGACTGGAGGACGAGGCCGCCCGCGAGGGGCGGGCCGAAGGCGGCTAGGTTCTGCCCGGGCAGGCGGACGGGAAGCTGAGGGGGCTTCGCTTGCGGGGCGGCGGAAAGGACGGGGGATCCCGTGCGTGCGGCGGGGAAGAGAACGGTTCCCTCAGGAGAAACCCGCTCGAGGGCGAGGCGTCGCGGAGCGCGGACACCGCCCGGCCCGAGCCGCCACCACCGCCCTCGCCTCAGCCCGGCTCCCCGCGCCGCTCTGGTGCCGGCTCGCTCACTCCCTCTCGTCTCCCTCGCGCGCGCGCGACGGCCCGACACCGCCCCTCGCCGACACCACCCCGCCGCGCATGCGTACAGCAGCCGCTCGCGGGTACGGGGACCCCCGCAGGAAACCTCATCGCGGTGCGGATTGGCTGCTGCTCTCTCCCGATCCCGCCCCTCTGCTGAGGGGGATCCAGTCAGAGCTCGGCTTTGCGCGAGGCAGCGGGCGGCGTGCCTCGGCCTCGAGCGTGAAGAGCCGAAGCGGGTGCGGCGGCGGTTGTTCTCCGCTGGCTGTAGGCTGGCCTGCGGTCCTCAGCGAGCCGGTTGCCCTTCCTTCGCGCTTACGGTGAGCCACTGCTGCCCTCGCCTCAGCCACCGTCTGGCATCAACACTGAGGCTCACGTCTGGCTGCCTCTGCCCTCCTCTTCCTCCTTCTCCCACTGCCCGCGTCGACCCAGAAGGAGGAATCTGGTGGTATAAACATGAGCGGGAGAGCTGGTTTCAGACAGAGACTGTGAGTGGTCTTGGCCCTGGCAGACAGGCCGTTTAGCTGTGGGGGTGGTGAGTTACCCACAGGGATGCAGAGCTGACAGGCACTTCGGGGGGTTCTGCAGGGCATTACGGGAGGAGGTTCCACGCCTCCCTGTCTGGGCGTGCATGGCTCAAAGTTCAGCAGGACCAGAACATTTGCAGTCAGGTACTTTGGAAGTCCACCGTTGCTGGGGTTTCCATCCTAGAAATGCCATGAGAAATGCAAGCTTCAGTCACCAGTGCTCTCTGATGCTGCCGTTTTAAAGAGTGAGCAATATGACCCAAATGACTGGTTAGCTTAATAGCTATCCTAACCAAAATAGAACATCTGATATAGAACTTAAATAATTAAAAGTTGAAATTAAAGAATATAACATAAGCCTACACAGTATTTTCGTAAAAACAGATGTTAACACTGTTTTGAAGAGGTACTTGACTCAGACTTAGTGCTTCATGGTAGTGTTACTAGCATTGGGTGCATGCAGTGCCAATAAACCATGTAAATGAAATTTGCTGCCAGATCTCAAGAAGAGGAAGAGCTTAGTTGAAAGAAACGGTGTCTGAAGACTTTCCAGGAGTAGGTTCTATGTTGTACTATATTTTAGCAATGATCTGGAAGCAGGTCTAAACCTGCTGCTGCAAGAATTGAACTGCAGGATTAATGGAGTCATAAATAATGGTGAAGGTGGGCCACTGATCAGAATGGTCGGTACAAGCAGCCCATTCAAATGTCACTATTTTAATCCAGCAAACTATAAAGTTGTCTCTTCAGAAACTGTGGAGGCTGTAACTGGAGAATAAAAGACTGTAGCCTGGGAAGGTAATGACTTTGAGAAGGATTTAGGGGTCAGAATAAGCAAGCAATCAGGTAAGGGCTGTCTTGTATGCGGCTATGTCAGAAAAGGATTAATCAACGTATAAACAAAGGAATAAAAAAAATCTTTATTTTACCTCTCATGTTTGGCCTCAAAAATGTCATCCACGGGATAGTGCATACAGTTCCAGTTTTCAGATTTTAAGAAGCATGCTGGAAAATAAGAAAGGCTGAAGCAAAATGTTCTGATGGTTAGAGAAAATGCATTACACTGGGAGGTTTTAAGCACTCAGGCTGTTAAAATTTATCTCAAAGTGGACTGGGAGGTGACTTAATTGTAGTGTATAGGAATATTCCTGGGGGAAAATCCAGGATATTAAAGGGCTCTTTAATCTATTGAAGAAAGGCATAATAAGAAGTAATGGCCAGAGGCAAAAGCCAGACAAACTCAAATAGGAAATAAACCACACATTTTTACACCAGAACTCATTCCCAAGAGAAGCTGCATGTTTTCTGTCGTTTTATGTCTTCTCTTAAAGATAAGATGTATTTCTGAAAATTATTTTTAGCTGAGCAGAAATTATATTTTATCTGTTGGATGAATACAGTTTGAAATCTGATGGTCCATGGTATACATAGTGTCAGGTTAATCTAATGGGACCATCATGGTTTAAATTTTAAATGCCAGAAGCAGACATTTTCTTAATAACCATGAGCATTAAAATAAATTTTTATTTTGCCTTAAAATATTTATGTGCTGTAAAAAAGCAGATCTAAATTAAGCTTTTGGCAGCAGAATATACTTACTAAGGCAGTATCTAAAGGTTTTGACCTTTTGCTTCCTAAATTTACACTTTGGGGATTATTTGGAAAAAATTATCTGCTTTTTAATTTAAATTTCTGAAGGAATGGGTCCTTAGAAGTAATTCATTTGGTGCATTCTGATTCTCTTGGTCTTGAGGCAATTTTACATAATTGATGTTCACATTATAAAATATTTCTTGGAGAAATATTACCCAGAGTGTTCAGATAGCAATGCACCAAATGAATCCTGATAAATTTCCTATATTCTACAATATGTATATTTGTATGTTGCATATGTTTGCATCCTACATCCTTAACCTCCCTTGAGGCATTATAATAAACAATTATCAATGGAGGAGCAGCTGTTACTGGAAGAGGGATGAATGAAATGTAAGATTTCAGACCATCAGCTTGGCAGAGAAACATGAAAAAAACACCCTGGAAATGGTACATGATCAATTTTTCTATCTCAAGAACGTAAGATATGTTGTCATTTCTCTGCCTTCTCTGAGAAATGAGCAGCACTAATCCTGTGAGGAACATGTGTTTCCTAATGTACGTGCTTCCCTGGCTCTTGAGCAGAAAATGCAAAGACAGGAGCTGAAAAACAAGCTGCTGCCTTCTTTTGTGCCATTTTCCCAGAGTCAAGCCACAAACAATCTCCCCTTAAACACAGAACCACTGAAATCTGTTAATTAACTTGATGATGAATTCTGGAACGAGATCTGAATAACTGTACAGGGGAAAAAAATGCAGTGATTACAAATGATGAAGTGAGATGTCTTTCTGGTATGTACTTGGGAACTTGAAAAGCAGAAAGTTTTTTTGAGTGTGGTTGAAACTTGTTTAGTTTGACTTTGAACTGTTAGTGTGAAAATTATGCAACCTATACTACTGAAGGAGCTTTTAAATCACCTTTGCACATTTAAGCTAAGAAGCGATTGCAGTGGGCACTCCAAGAACAGTCTGGAGTGCACCCGATAATGGAACTTTTCCAGAAAATGTGTTTCTTTGTCCTGTCTGCAATAGCTGGCCCCAAAGATGTTCTGAATACATTTCAGGTTACTGCACAAGTGCTGCCATCTGAGCATGACATCCATAACGCATGCATTTTCAGGGTTGCCTGGCAAACCAGCCTAATCACAGCCACATTCCCACAGGCTGTAAGAATTTGACATGACAGCTGTGGGAATCAATGGCAAATGAGGTGTACAGAACACATCAAGCTTGCAGCTGCTGCTGTGACCATCCTGCCCAAGTGAGAAGAGCAGAACCAGGAGTTGATCTTTGAAGCAGAACATCTTGCTTGGCATCTATTTGGATGACCACTGTTTACTGAGTGTATTTAAGGTACTGGTTTTGCCTTGCAAAGCTTTAAACAATTGGAGACCAGTTTGAGTCATCAGCAGTCAGTTGTTTTCCTCTCCTAATATAACTGAAGGAGCAGGTGGCAGGACATTCTCTAGGATTGTGGGACTTGTTTTCTGTCATCATCTGCAGTAGCTTGAATCAGGTCATCTTTTTGTGCAAAAGACATCTGTTTGATACCATTTTGTGAAGGAGAAATGAAATTATTTTCCAGAGTGATGAAGGATGGAAGGAGTATCAGTAGAGGTCTGAATGGCTAGTTTCCTGTTGAAATAATTATTCTAATGCTGCTAGGATTTTGTTATATTATTAATGATGTTAAAGTGCCTAGAGTCAGAGGAAGGCTTCATTTTAGATTGTTTTGAATGTAAATGAATGTAAATCCAGTGAGAGCAGAATTATTTTAAGTTCTATTGGAAAAGCTATCATTAGTAAACATGTAAATAATGAACCAATGTATCACTTCTCTTAGAAAGGTCTAACAAATATGTTAAGTCTCCATGGGTAAAAAAAGTTAAAGACTTTGGAAAGAATGAGGCTTGGTTCTTGTCTCTTTGGTATTCTGATTGCTATACTAAAAACTTTACCGACTGCAATAAAAGTAAGTTCAATGACTTGCTGCAATCCCCTGATTTCAGTTTTGCCTGGTTATATATTTATTTCTGCAGGATGATGTCAAAGTTCCATATGTAAGTGGTTTATTTTTTGTTTTTATAAAACTTTGTATTATTTACTTCTGAAAATTTGCTAAACTGTTCACACACTATTAAATTGCTGTAGCATTTGGATATGATAGGGAAAGGTCACTGGATACCTCGGAAATCTGATCCGGTGGCAGATCAGACAAAGTGAACATGAAAGCCCAAACAATATTAACTTAGCAATAGCACTGTAAGCAACAAAAGCAAAAAATACAGGCTTTGTTTAAATGGTGGATGTTTGGCTTCAGAGTTACAAGCCTGGATTTCCAGGGAATGGAATCAGGTGGCTTTGCTGTGTTGCTATTTTAGCATGGAGTTGCACAGCAGCACATATTCTCATGTCACAAGACACTTCTTATACTGTCGCCTCATTCAGATGAGGGCTGAGTATGCCCATCATTACTGAATCTGCCCAGCTGCTTGGGTTAGGTTTTCTTTTTTTCTCTATGTGTTTATATTGGCACATAATCTTGGAAAGGCACAGAATTTTAGTGACTAGGTAATTGTATGCAAATGCAAGGTGTACAATGTTGTTATTTGTTATAGCAAACAATAAGTAAAAAGTTAAAAATAAGTAATAAAAGAGACTGCAGCCGTAGGGTCTCCTCTGTAAAGTCATTCTAGGAATGCAATTGTTGCAATCTTATCATTCTTCTCTGAACTTAAATCCATGTGTTTAACCATGTCCTATGCCATTTTAGACATAGATAGGGTGACATTACTTAAGGAGTGTTTCTATTGTGTTAAAAAGGAGATTATTCTGATTTTGACATTATCTTAAATTATTACATGTCCTCAATTATAGCATGAGAGTATTTTACAGTCATTAATTGGCACCTCTTCAGAACAACTCTATAAAGGAGTGGAATGTGTAATTGTCACCCCTGTCACTTTTCACCTAGGAATGAGATACAGATTTGGTAACAGTTTTACTATACTTCCATTTATTCCATTTTCCAGGTTCCTGTAATCTTAATTTTTAAATTTTGTAATCTACTGTCTGTATGGTGAGAAAATTGAGGGTTTTTTTTCCCCATGATGTCTCAAAGTGACTAACGAATCCTAAAGCAATTACAAACCCTTTGTCTTTTTGCCTCCTCATGCCAGGATTTGGAATTGAAAGCAACTGAATTTTGGAAGGTGGAGGGAGAGGTTGGTTGCTTTGTGGGTGGGTACGGTTTGTTTGCTCTGTCTACCAGGAATTAAACTGTATAATTGCTTGCTTTTGCTTGGAATAGCTGACTGTACCTTCATTCCCATGCTCTGCTTGATTATTCACACCACTTGTCTATGGAAGAGACATGTTATTAACTGGATACATGCACCTCTTTGGGTACCATCCCTGTATTATCTTATAGCTATATTTTATTACTAGCAAGACAGCAGAGGAAGGGTAGAATTAAAAAAAAAAAAAAATTTGTGCATAACTCTTTATCAACCTAAAGACCAGAATTAGAGGGTTCCTTCTTCCCCACATCATCTGAACTTTGTGCTTATACAATACTTGCAGCCTTTTTATCACTGTAATTTCTGCAGATCCCTTAAAAGATATTTGTCCTTTAAGAAATGAGTAAGTTCTTTCATGCTGACTTGCATTAACTGCAATTACTGCATATTGGATCAAATTTTGTGTGCAAGAGTAGGAGTTGCATCAGTGTCTGCAAGCCAGCTGTGCTGCCAGGGCAAACAACTGCTGAGAACTCTCACCAGCAGGAAGCTTCTTGTTGGAACATGCCAAGAGCAGTAGGGATCCCAGCTCCCAGTTCCCCAGAGGCAGAACCTGCTTGCTGATGGGCCAGTTTAAAGAGCATATCCCCAGTCCAAGGATGAGAACAAGCCTCTCCACAGGGCACTGAAGAGTTGGGGTGGGGGCAGGACTCCCATCAGAGACAAGTGATCACATCCTAGGAGTTACAGCTTCATGAAGAAAAAGAAAAAGCAGCTTTTCAAGAGGCTAAACCTGTTCTGATTACTTGAACTTCTCAAAGGGGTGCACCCCACACTAGACCAAAGGGAAGGAAATAATGGGAATCAACCTGATTAGCGGATACAGAGAGTTTACCACGTGGCATCCTGGAACATGAGAGGCAGAGAAAGGAAACATGTTCAGATCCTACCATCAGGCTCAAAAGATCATGGGCAGGAAACTAGGCAAGGCATGTACATACCAAATGAATCATTAGGGAAGCCAGATTCGATATGATGAGAAAATCAGGACACAAAGTATAAGATATACAGCAGATGGGAATTTGCCTTAACATGCCAGATGCATGTTTTAATCAGTTCTGGACTTTTTTTCCTTGAAAAACCCCAAATTGCCAAGTCTATGAAATCAAGCCAGTTCATGTTCAAGTTATTCATCATTAGAGGAGGAAGAGTGAAAGCTTCCTTAGGCTTCTTTCTGACATTTGTTCGTTTTCCATTCAAAGGTGGAAAAGAAGCCACAGTTTGGGGAATATGTTCATAATTTACACTAATTAGGAATTCTCTTGGGTTTCAGCAGCACCATTTGCAGCGATAGCTGTTATTATACATGAGGTCATCCGTATTTGAAGATTTGATCTGCAGCCAATAAAAAAGATGTGTGAGCATGTTTAGCACTGCAGTATTGTAACCCCTAACATTCAGACTACAATCTAGAGTCCCTTACACTCTTCCTGCAATTCAATGGAAAAGGCAGATGCCTTGACAGACAGAACAGGAAGTCTACAGGCTGACGAGAGAGCTGTTTGGAGTTAGCTGATAACAAACCAAATGTGAGGATGGCTCTGAAACTCAATCGCACACCTCAGGCATGACTAAAAGTGAGATACCTTGAATTATGTGTGATACAGGATCTCATGGTAGTCAGTTACAAGTACTTTTATTAATAATTGGGTAAATCTCACTTTTTTACAGGATAGGATGCCCACTTTTGATGTAAATGCCAAGTGGTCAGAGCTTTGTCCTGAGAAAGGACCTTTCTAAGCTCCTTTAACGATATGATAGCCAATATTAATTCATTTTCACTATGGTTTTGTTTGTTGCAGGTGTATTGAGAACATTCACAACACCACCAAGAGCCTCCTTCATTCAATCTGCTGAAAATGCCAATGAGCCACCTCCCTCAGTCTTCCATCTTTGGGATATTAAGTGCTCCCAGTCCTGGGAAGGTTCTTCAGAAAAGGCCAGGTGTGCTCAACACACATGATGATACTCAGAATAACTTGCTTGCCTTACTGCTGCACCCTTTTCAGGGTAATGCAACCGATGCATCCCAGGGCAATTCAGAACCTGTATGGCAAGTATTTTGAATGTAACCAGTCGTTCTACAGGCTCTTGCTTTCAGGGTAGCATGAACATTGCTGCTTTTCTTAATTACACAGAAAGTGCTCAGAGTTATGTGTCTGTGATATTCCCTCAAATGTAAATTAACCCTTAAAGTATCAACATGAAGTAGTAATTAAAATTTTAGGGTGGTGAGTTAAAATACATAGGGGTTATATGACTTGCCCTCAGTCATCCAGGTCCTTAAATAAGTGCATTTTCATGATGAATAAGTTCTACAGTACTTACTTTGGGCACCAGAAATGGATTCATTTGGCCAAGTTAAAGAAAACTACCTATAAAAATCGCCCACTGTGGCAACTGTCTGACCCTACAGGTATGTAAAAGTTCCTACTACCTACTCATTTGTCCTGGCAGTTCTCCAGGTCACTAAACTGGAATGCCCATGGCTGCACAGGCAGCAGTGACAGGTGGGGCCAGGCTCTTGTCTGAATCCTGCCCTGGTCAAGGACAGCAAAGACATACCTATGTTCCAGCTGAATCCCTGGAGGAGCTTACTATGTTATGGACACTCGGAGCCTTGTAGAGCTAACTTCAGCCTTGTTCACAGAGAAGCCACAGGGTTCTGTGGAAAGGATGAAGAAAGAAGCACTAGAGCTTATCCTTCCCATAATAGCTTAATAAATGTAGTCATCTAGGGAGTGGGAAATCTTAATTCAGTTTCACCTTGGCCTGATAGGATGCAACCCACTCATGACTCAGAAGGCTGCTGTAGCCGCCAGGTTATGACATAATCCAGGAGGGCATTGCGTCTTTCATCCCTCCTCCTGAATTTACACTGTTGGCTGTAAAACACAGGGGACTAGAAAGAGATCCAGCAAGGCTTTGCATAACTTACAGTTTGGTGATTGGGATGTAGGATATCTACATTTGATGGAGCTTAACTGCTTTGGCTCAAAAGGGAGCAGAGGCACTTGATTAGGCGATCTGAATTGCCAGGTGTTGGAAGTTGCAATACTTGTATTGGAGGTCGCCTGAGTCCTGCTCTTGGAGTTTAGTGAGGTTAGCCATGTGACAGAAGTTAAGCAGATGTAGATTTGGAGTCAGGATATGTAAATGGTAGAAGTTGGCCAAGAACACAAGACTGCTGATTCACAGAGCTGTGGTGCAAGCATGCTTAAAGCATAACTTTAAGTTGCAGGAGTTCTGTTTTAGTTTGCCCGTACATCTTGTGATATATCCTTGTGATCTGCTGTGTCTGCTGAAAAGCAAGCAATAAAATACAATACATAGTAAGAGAAGCTTTTTTTAAATAAGTTATTAATATTTGGAGGCAGTGGAAGACTGCAGATTTTTTTTGACCACTGTATTTTAGAGAAAAAAAAATATGTTCGTAACTAAACAGGACTGGAGCAACTTGCAGTGTAGATTTATCAGTGAAGAGCGAAGAGCCTGAGTGTTCTAAAGATTGTTTAGTTTTGCACCTTTATTGTGTTAGAAACTACATACTGCTGATGAAGGGGCTTTTAAAACCAGCTGGGTCAGAGAACAAAGGAAGACAGAACACTATTCATGAAGGAGCTGGAGTTGTCACACTCAAAATTTTGCAGTTTTTCTGGCTAATCAGATGTTTCTTCTCCTGATTTCTTGTAGGCTATATATGCTCACTTTCTCTAATGTGGTTTTGCCTCATGACTGTCCTGCTCTCCACCTCTGTATATCTAGATAGAGACATATACGTATGCATGTACACCTTTTTTATATGCCTCTTTGTTTGGCCAATACTTAACCCATGTGTAGAGTCAGGAAGACCCTCAAAACCCTCTTTGTTTTTGTGTCATAGTGTGTAGGGCAGAGCTTTTGCAACCGCAAACTGTGCAGCCGTTTCTGTCCTACTCTTTAATCCTACCAGCACTGGTGGACTGCTCACACTTCTGGTCATATTATAATACCAGGGTCATATTGCTGCATCTTAATGTGGTTTTCTCAGTGGCAGCTGAAGGAGGGCACTGACAGGGTCCTGACAATGACAGTAACAAGGGCAAAATTGGATTTGTTCTGGAAAAAAAAAAAATAGTCCAGACAGAATCACTCCTTTAGCAGAGTCATTTGTTTGGAGGATATGGTTTATAAGTCCTACCTAGGACAGAACTCTTCCTCATTTTTCCTAGTGAACTTCGATTTCATTAAGAAACTGGAGACACAAAGTGACCCACTTGCTTGAGGACATATGTCTTTGGATGAGTATAATTATCCAATATCATTTATACAACCAAATCATAAACAAAGTATAACTAAAATGGCAAAGCTTCATAGATAGAACTGCAGGTTTCTGTGTATGTAAATAGAGCTTCTGTCCTAGAGAAATTTCCAGCCTCTGAGTTCGCAAGATCTGGCGTTCATGCTAGCAGTGGCTTGCTCAGTGTTGTGTCCAAAGAGTAATGGAGAGAACAAGACAAACGCAGTATAGCAATTACTAACAGCCCTGTTTCAGGTGCAGATTTAATAGGAACACCTTCTTAGGTCAACAAAATCACCACCCTCCAACCACAACTATAATGGGATCAGGACTTCTGGCACCTAGATGGTGCAAGAGGCTGTCCATCTAAATCTGTTGCATATCATGTTCAGGGGAATCCTGGCCAACAGGACTTTGCTAAAGTGACAGACCCTATTGTTTAGCTAAATGACAACTGCCTGCAAGATTTTTAATGAAGATGATGTAGTTTCTTCCTGCAACGTAACAAGCTGGTTTGATTTTTAAAACAAGTGCTTGGAAAAGCCACGTCAGGCTCTTAATACGAGCTTGGTCTCTGTTGAGGTGCAGTCTTGCAGCACGCCAACAAACTGAGCAGAGGAGCCGTAGTGATGGCAGCTGCAAAGCTACAAGGAGGTATGGCCATGTTCAAGCCAGGAAGGCAAGTCAAGGAAGCAAAGACAGGATATGACAAAAGGACAGGCATAGAACGGCCTGGAAGAGACTTCTCACAGCTCTTTTCCCTGCGATCTTGTCCCTTCAAGGGACAGAGGTTACAGAGCTGACCCTGAAGATGGTCATCAAACCCCTCGGAGTGCCTGAAGAGGTTGCAGTGTGTTGATTTACAAAGGATCCTGACAGTGTGAAAACTAAAACGCAGTTGCATTTGTTGGGGCATGCAACATACTTGCAAGAAAACCTGAAGCCAGCATAAAACAGAAATGTGAAGCTCAGATCAGATTTCTGTATAAACCTAGCTAAGTTTTATGATCTGTATCACTGAGCCATGTGTTCAACAAATCTGGCTTGATTTATGTATTTGGCTTAAATGGTTTAAAACCTGAAGTTTAAAACGTTTGTATAAATAGGCATTTACAGCCTTCTGGTTTCAGCTGCCTTTTTGCCACAATTACTAATAGAACTACTCTTTTCATGCAGAGCTGGGGGAAGCCTGTATGCATGAACCTGGGTGGCATTAAAAAAAAAAAAAAAAAAAAGAAAAACTTAGAAAATGCCACCTTTTAAGGGTTATTTCTTATTTCTTACAAGGCAGTCTTTGTAGGCTTTCAGCATGAAGTGAGCTCTGAATTAAAGCAGCCACACCAGGCTCCCAAATGTGTACTTACAAAAAATACCTCTTTGTAATACCTCACCATCTGGAGAGGGTCTTTTTACAAGGGCATGTAGTGACAGGACAAGGGGGAATGGCTTTAAGCTGACAGAGGGGAAATTTAGATTTGATATTAGGAAGAAGTTCTTTATTGTGAGGGTAGTGAGGCACTGGCACAGGTTGCCCAGAGAAGCTGTGGTTGCCACATCCCTGGCAGTGTTCAAGGCCAGATTAGATGGGGCTTTAGGCAACCTGCTCTAGTACAAGGTATCCCTGCCCATGGCAGGGTGCTGGAACTGAATGAGCTTTCAGGTCCCTTCCAACTCAAACCATTCTATTATACTATGAGAAGTTTAATTTCCAGCGAAGATACCGACCGGTGCTGTGATTCTGCAAGGATTTATCCTTATGCATCATGCTCACACATCTCTTTGGAGTCATGTGGGTTGCACTCAGTGCTGAAAATTGGACATACCTGAATCTTGGCAAGGTCGTAAAATCTTTTGAATGAGTTTTAAGAAACCTGTGCGACTACTGCAAACAGAATTAAGATGTAACTTCCTTTCTTGGTGTTGAAATAGTTGCTTAATGGGCCTCCAGGGCTCTCAATGGCAAATAAAGTCAAAGGGAAGCAAGTATCTTCAACACCTCTGCAAGCCATTATCTTGTTAGCAGGCATAAACTGTAGCAAGCCCTTTTTCCAATCTGTGCTTCTGTACCAGTAAGAAGGAAATAAGGACACTCTTTTCCTTTGCAGATCATCTGATGAAAAGTGCCAGAAAAGCTGCTATCAATGAATACCTGCATTTGTGAATAATTTTCACATAGCCTTTCAGATGCAGGAACCGCGGTATCCATGTAGAAAAATACTATTACATTGAATCCACTGTTTTTAAATTATCGTTACAAATTAAAATATGAGGTATAAGCATAGTCCTTGATAAAAAAAAATCTGTTCTTTTCAAAAGGTGTTTTTACACTCTTCTCCATATGGTTTAGCTATACTCAAAAGAAAATTATTGAGAATATAGGATTATAATAACATTTGTTTGTTGTGCTGGAAAATCGATTTCAAAGTCCTTTACATGTCCTTCTAACTATACCAAAGCAGTAAAAAACATCACACCACAGCACCCATGTTCCCCATGTTTAGCATAAAACTGTTTCACAAAGGCATAAAAATATAGAATAGAATAAAATAATTCTGAAGATAGATGATAAGAGAGGAGAAGCTTTCCAGAGGCATATCTAATAGAAATACTGACCTACATAAAGCATATGAAGTATTCCCATGACCAAGAGCCACAGACTCTGTAGTGGGTATCTCCAAGGGCAGGGGAGAAGGTTTAGGGCCCTTGTGGGCAGGAGGTGGCCTTGGCCTCAGTGGCTGGCAAGGCTGGGAGAGGTGTCCAGCTGTCTCCCACAGCAGCCCCAGGCTGTTACTTTGCTGTTCCCATCTGGGTGATGTCTCTGCCAGGGTTTGTACTAAGTGACAGGTATCACACAGAAACCCCTTTGTGCCCCCAGGCCTGCAGCAGGTCAGGAAGCAGCCCTGGCACAGAAACCAGGCTCGCATTGCTCCTGTGCCACAGCTGTCTGCTCCAGCTTGTGGGCACAGTGACATAAGAAGAGTTGGTAGGAATTCATGGAAGGACGCGTTTGAAAAGCGTGCAGGACTGGGATCGGAGTTTGCTTCCACAAGGACTGTTGGGCATGTAAATAAAGCTCCATGCGGTGGAGAAGGGACAAGAGAGTGTTTCACCTGAAAAAAAGTTTTGTATAAAGAGCAGAGCTGGCAGAAGAGTACAAAGTTTGATTTAAAAAAACATCACAGGGCAAAATTTACGGATGTTGGCATGAGGAGGGGAGGCTGCAAAATGCTTACCCAGGGAGAGGGACATGGAACTGTTTTTTAATTACTCTGTCTGGGAAAAGATTATATAGAGATTAAGGGAAGCACATGTTTGCAGAGATAATACACCTTGAGGGACAGCCAAGAGATCAGAGGTTGTCCTGAGCTTTCCCAGTTGTCCAGTGCCTTTTAGTCACATACTGCGGCACTCACTGGTAGTGAAATACTGCCAGCACTGACTGGCAGGGTTATGTTTCATGCTGTGCAGGTGCTTTAAGCTATGCTGGGCCAAAGCAAAAGCATGGATTATGATGAAAGGACTTGAGCATGACAAATCAGAACTTTTTTTTTGTTACGATTACTGTAACTTAAAGATCAGTCTGGACATGCACACCTACATGGTGTACTGCAGGTAGGTCAGGGTATGTCAGTGTGGCACACACTGGGATACTGCAGGTGGGTTTTACCTGTGCTCCATGCTCACCAAAAGCTGTGTGCCTGCATTCATGTGGTGCTGAGCCCCAGTAGAAAAGCCCCTAGGAGCCGATTACATTGATTTTGAATCAGCACCAGCCTAATGTGGTAACATGGCTTTTAAGTTCGCTGCTTGGACAGAGCTCACTTGAGTCTGAGTGGGTTATACCATGGGCTGTTACACTATGTAAAGGCTGCGTGGAAGGTGCTTGTATAATGAAAACAAATGTATTCCCAATTGCTTTATTTATTGAGCTATATTACTGCCATTTTACTAAGTGCCAGTTTCCTGTAATAAATTTCATTATTATCCTCTACTTCCCTCAGAAATCTGCTGTTAGTCCAGGGCCTCTGGGAAAGCTGTGTATTGAAAACCAGTTGGTGTAAAAAGCTGTCTGCTACAATCAGGGCAGAGACTTGGATCAAAACAGTGCACATCAGCACGTGGCAACCCAGAGCAAGTAGTGCTGCATCAACACAGAGCAGCTCCCAGTGCATTTTTCTCAGCCTCTTGCCAGCCTGGGTCCATCTTTGCTGATTATCTGCAGGTGGGAACCAGCTGTTAGAGGTAATCAAGTTCAAATGCAGCTCTGCTGTTTTCTAAAGCAGGAACTTTCTCCAGCTTTTTCATCAGCAACTGGCTTTCATCTTTGAAATCTTATCTGATGTGTGTAAAATTAGTTTCAGGATTAGTCCCCCTAAAATTTGTGTGTTTATCTCATGTGTTACTGTGTTCTGCCTGAAAGAGCTGTTGGTGCAGCTTTTCATACCACTGAAGGGTACTTGGCAGGAGAGAGGTTTGTGGTTTCTCTCTAGCCGTGTTTGTAATGGAAAATAAGAGTTAACTATATGAAAGGAAAAAATGTCTGAAATGAATGAAAAAGGCAAATCCTGAGCTCACCTGCCAAACTTAATATCTCTGAGGTCTGTGTCTACTCAACCCAGCTATATTTTGCTTCCAATAAAACACTTGTTACTGAACATGGCCAAACTTAAAGAAAAACTAGGGGGGTGGTTGGTCTTTTTTAACACAGCTGTGGATTTATTACCCTCATCCTTCCCCCCACACTCTTCTGCACTCTAGTCAATGAGCCCCTCAGGGCTTTTCTCTTTTTAGACATTGAGTGCTCCTTGAAAAAGATACTATCAATAGCCAGATATTTGCAGTGTTTAGGTGTGAGTAAAGATCTGTAGTTAAAAGGTTTAAGTGAAGTTAAAAACCAGAGTTAAATATCTGAAAAGGCAAACCCTGAGACCATGGTGAGTGAGACAATGCATTTCATTAAATAGTACACATCCTGTTTCTGGGTTATTAATTGGTTTATTCTGATAAATTACAAAAGTGTCTATCACAAAATCAGACACACTAGTAGTTTGCAAAGTTTCATACCTATACAGAAACATATCTGAGCAAATACGCTACTCAAAATCTAGAAGTAAGCTAGCTAGCTGTAACTAACTAGAAACTAACATTAGAAGGATAAAGATATTTCACTGTAAAAGTATGGGGAATTTAAGAGTTCAGCTGCTGAAGGATTAGCTTTCTTGTCTCTTCTCCACCAGTTTAATTGCTGCACTTAAGAGCAGATTCATTGTACTTGTAGTGACCTCGAAGAAAGAAAGAAAAAGTACCGGCTGGAAAAGCCACCTAGTGGTATAGAGAAATGCTTCCAAGCAGAAGCAGGAAGCTCTGAGTTCCGAAGAAAGATTTGTTCTCATACTGGACCAGTGTGCTGTGGCATACTATGAAGGCTGTTTGTTATTACTCATGGGAGCCTAGAATGTGTATTACACACAAACAGGAAATCCACAGACATATTAAATACTTTTTCCAAAGGACAGTACTACAAAACTTTATGTTGGATCATTGCCTGTTCTATATATGCAATGTAAACTACAAAATCTCATTTAGAGCTATTTCAGAGAATTAAACAAGGATGAATGAGTTCGCCCCATTTTGCTTTTCACCTGTCCAAATAAATGGAGGAGTTACTACTGTCCGCAGCCCAGAAAGAGAAGAAAGCCTATAAAGCATCTGCATTATTTACTTTAATCTTCATTATGTCATTGCTTTAAAGCACAACTTAATGTGTTTGTAGAGCTAAGGAATAGCTTTGGTTAGCTGCAGCTTTTTTCTGGATTCCCATGGTTGCTTTTTTTGAGGGTAATTTCTGCATCTGTTGGAAAGAACTGGGAAAGACACACAATTCGGGAAAGCAGAAAATCAAGCAAAAGGCTGTAGGTGAGGCAGATTCAAGACAGCACATGATCAACACGTGAAAGTCTGCCTCTTAAGAAAGGCTGAGAGCAGTTGGCAAATGATTACAACAGCTCCATTCCTTCAGGACCCTTCATCTCAGCTCAGGCAGTGAAGAATGAAGGCATACCTCCTCTCAGCACATCAATGATTAAACCAGAGCCTTTGTAAAAAGTAATAGAATGGGTGGCATGTTCTTATCTATGTAGTCAAAATGCAAAGTTACGACTCGTATGCTGGAGGCTTGGTTTTTATAATGTCAAGATCTTTGCAGCTTTGTGCTCATTCCATAGTGCTTTCTCAGTTGTAGATTCATCTGTGAATGCACAGATCAGGGAGTTTTGCAAACATGGAGGGATTAGCTCATACACGTATGCAGCTATGCATATTGCTTAACCAGACCTTATAGGGTTCTTCAGCCTGTGCTGGTTGTGAGTGGGGATGGAGGGAGGGAGAAAGGGACACCATGCCAAACTACAGCTGGGTTATTGACCTGCTAGGAATTGTGGGACTGTGCAATCAAACAGACCTTACTGCAGACTGCCTGTGACATGTGCATCTAGCTCTGAGGATTAAGCAGCCCGAGTCACTGCCTACCTCTAATGTAAGGAGCCATGGTGTGGGAAAGGAGGGATGGCAAAGCCCTATAAAAAACTAATATGAAAGAGGGGTCTATGAAGATGGAGCTTCTTTAGGTAAATGGATTTTATCTTCAGAATTGGAAGCTTAACAAGTCAAGTTAGGCAATTAATTATCCCTAAATGTTTAATTACATAAATGCATAAAGTACACACACACCAGGCCTGAGGTTTACTACATGTTGTAAGTGCATAAATGTGCCAATCTGCGCATCAAATAAATCACAGCATTTATGAAAGTGCACCAATAGAACTGCATCTGCTGAGCTAAAGGACCAGTGAAGACATGCAGGAAAGTACTGGCATTGCCCCAGCTGACATCTCGCCTAGCTGGTAGCTAGGGATATCAGGCTGCAGGAGCAGGGAGCAAGGACAGCTAACCTTACAACTGGCTTGTGCACAGTGGGACCTGCTTCAAGTCATGGGGTGTTGCTCTGAAGACATTAATTTCTTCTTTCTGTGGCACTTGGCTACTGTAAGCCTTTGAGGCACCCTTAAGGCAGGTATGGCGTGGGCAGAGAGAAACCTAAACCAGGGGCATAGAAATCTGTGGCAGAAACCTGAGAAAGAAGTTCTGGAAATATGTCCAATTTGTAGGGTTGTGAGGAGCAGCATTCCCAGCTTGTGTGCACAGACATTACACATAGCATGGAGTAAATTAGTCATCTTTCCAGGTGAAGGTAGAGAAACCTGTGTGAGTGTGAGAAAGCACACGTAATCCTCCCAGGACACTCAAATTTGGTTCTTCCTGCTTATTAAAGGTAATGAGAATAGGAGGGTAATTTGGAGGATGGGTGTGGGGGGGGTGTGTCAGAGTGCCTGAAAGTGCTAGCAATTACAGATGGACTCAAAGCTCCCATACGTCCCCTGCTTTTCTCTGGTTCTTTCTGTTTGCTAAAGATTTCCAGAAGTGCGGCAGCCAGAATCTCAGTGGACAATCTCCATGACTACTTCCTGCATGTCAAGACATCCTGCATGACTGTAGAACCTGCATGCTGTGCTGCACGTGTGTACAGCCTGTCCTCTGTTCTTCAGAAAACCTCAGCCGCTGGGGCACGTTCAGTCCAGCTGCTTGATATATGTCCCAAATGGATTTAGGAGCATCACCCATGTGGGAATCACCATCATAAAAAATCTCACATGATGCTAGTATCCTTGAGTAAGACTGGTTACAGCCAGAGACGCCTCATCTGGCACCTTTCCAAGCTTTAATAAAGACTTTTAAAAGACACTGGGAAGTCACTGTGGTTTGCACTCTGGTCACTGTGGTGATGGTAAAGAGAAATGTGGAAATTTCACGAGCAGATACTCTGATGAAATTTCTGCAATAGCTTTTCCCAGTATGCCCAGATTCCCAAATCTCCTCCTGCATTGTATCACCAAAAAAGGTGATCAGTAGAAATTTAGCAGCCTTCTATTTACTTCAACAGGGGAAAAAAAACCCCAAACCTGTTACAGTAAGCTGTTACCATCTCACTGTTTGTTTTTCAGTGAAGTTTCTTTGCTGCCCTTCCACAGAGCAAGTTCTCATCCACAAATCCCTTCACTGACAAGGAGCACTCAGCTTTCAAACACTGTTGTGATTATCTGGTTGTCAACCTGCATAACACAGACCAGCTCATTTCACATGGTACTTCTGCACTGCATCCCTCATTTTTGTGGGGAGTTTTAAAAGATCACAAATGAGCCTGTTGAAATCAGTTGGGCTTAATACTGGCGTAAAGTTCTTCTTGGCAAGGACAGCAAGAATACAGGCACATAACCTATAAGAAGTTACTGATCCATAATAAACTACTGTTTGAGTAAGGATAGATTAAAGGGGGCTGCATCGTGGGGGTTGTGTATCTGCCTTTTTCTGTACAGCTCTGAATACACAACTGGGAAATAAACCCTCCTGCTTTCATTGCTTTCCTGCTTGTGCACTGGTTTGTGCTTTATGGGCACACAGTGGGGACAAAAATCATTAAATCAGTAAAAAAGAAACGCTGCTGCCTGAGTCACCTTGAGTGGAGAGTAGAGGAGATTTCCCGAGTCTTGGCAACGAGTTCGGTTGTCTGTGTCAGTAACTCCTGTTGTGTGAAGGAAAGGGGAACCCCAAGTTTGCACACTGAATGATAACATTAATTGAGAAGAGGATCAGGACTTGAAGGTTTTTGATCCGTAACATTCAAAGTTGCCTGCAAGCTGCTGGGAGCTGTAAAACATAAGTGGGTATGCATAACACAGCAGCAGCTTTACCACCCTCCATACTCAGGCAGAGTGCAGTGCTGCTGTGCGTGTTATCTGTTGTTGTGCATATGCCCCTAAGGTGGGCGCTGGTGTGCCTGGTCCCAGTGTTCAAAAAGAGAAAGTAAATACGTATATATGGTGGGTCTGAAATACTGACACTGTTCTGGCCAAAGAAGCAATGCTGGGAGTTGGTTTTCAGTCTCTAGACCTGGCATTGGAGGTGGTAAGATAATAGTACAAGGCAGTCAAATGCAGATGTGATTGCATGTTTGATATCACAGAATCACAGAATGGTTTGGGTTGGCAGGGACCTTAAAGCTCATCCAGTTCCAGCCCCCTGCCATGGGCAGGGACACCTTCCACTAGACCAGGTTGCTCCAAGCCCTGTCCAGCCTGGCCATGGATGAGGCAGCCACAGCTTCTCTGGGCAACCTGTGCCAAGGCCTCACCACCCTTCATAGTGAAGAACTTATTTCCAATAATAATGTAAATCTACCCTGTTTCAGTCTGTACAGTCCACTTTGCTCTGAGCAGACACACCTCAGTGCTGGCAGGGATTACTTTTTGTCTTTCTCCAGCAGCTGCACATTTGCTTCAGCCAAGTTTCAAGTTAGGGTCCTAATAAAGCCTTCGCAAAACACCAAACTGCAAACACAAACAAAAGAGAGAAAAAAAGATACCAATATGTAATGTGTAAAATCCTGTTGTATGACTGCAAGAACATAGGACACTGGGAACTGCTTGTGAAGACCACTTGCTTTAAAAGAAGCTATCCCAAGTGGAAATCACTTCAGAAAAGTGCTCCTGCTTTCCAGTGTTTCTGTGTGCACCCATGGTGTGTGGATGAGTCATCAACATCCCTCCATATCCAAGTCCTGCCATTCTTGCTGAGTCAGGCAGGGAGCCTTGCAGGGGGTGAAAGGGACATTGTGAGACACAAGACCCTTTATTCAGGGAGAAGCTTTATTGCCTATTCAATACACTCCCAGAGCAGAGAACATGAGAACATTCACCTTGAGATTTAGGTTGAACGCTACAGTAATCCTGAACAATCCCAGAGTTCTCTATTAGTGTTAGGTTTTAAGGAACAAGCCTAAACTGAGGAATGCTTTAGTTCTCTGTGTAACTGAGCTCATTGTTTAAGGTCTTGATTAATTTTTCTCTTTGTCAAAAACTCATGCTGTTTGCAAAGTCTGTGGGACTGGGCAGCCCAGCCAATACTGCTTCACTGCCCCTCTCCCTGGGGAAGTCCTTGGAAGCTGCTTCTGACCCCATGTTGTCCTGTAGGGCAAACTGGATCTTGCAGGAAGTTTAACCGACACAATCTGAAGACTATGCCCTGACATGCAACAGCTTTTTCCAAACAGGATATTTATGGGTAGACCTCATGCATTTTGAGTTGAAGAAGCAAAATAAACCTTAAATGCAGATCTCTCTCCTGGTTTTTCAGCTTCTCCTTACTGGCTTTGGTGGTAGAAAGTTTTTTTGGTAGCCTGCCATAGGCTCTCCCTCTTTAGTCTCACATTTATTTCTACACCATGGGAGGCTTATCATTCCCTTTAATATCTTTCTTATCAGTACTATAGAATGGGCTATAGCCTTTTCAGGTTTCTAGGGAAACAATTCCTCGTTTAACTTCCGATCCAACGTGTTGGCAAACCGTCCTTTAAAATCACAGAGAAGCAAGAGCTACAGGCACAACAATTCTCATTTCACGGTATCTCATGTCAGATATAACTGGGAAGGAGCAATACATAGCATGTGTCTCTATTTGGTGTTTACATAAACATGCAACATTAATCTCTCTAGTACAAAATAGGCAAAATATAGAGTTAAGATCGACAGTGAGATCCCTTCCTTCTGCTGCTTTAACCCTGCAGTTTTAAGTCTCGAACAAGAGGATTTGATTCCATGGTGCTTGAAATCAAATAAAAACCAACAGGGCTGGTCTTAGCGCTGGGTATCAGCTCCCCCCAGAAACTCGAGGTCATGTAACGTTTACATATAACTGGGACAGACTTTCAGTTTTTGTTCGTTGTTGATGCCTTTCCACCCACTCGCAACAGTGGTGCTAAGTCCCCCTTGGAAAAATCCCTTCCAAACGCTCATTACTTGCTGCCTGCAGCATTAACTGCGATTTTCCCGTTAGCGTAAATAATGCGCTTCCCCGCTAGATGTCATTGTTGCTTCTGCAAATCACATGGGGTTTGATTAAAAGCATTTAATAAAGGTCCCTCATTTAGACAGGCCTTCACCACACTGAGGAGAGAGTCCCCTACCTGCTGGCACTGGGACGAAACGCTTTCTGTAAGAGTTCTGTACCAAAATGCTTTTGACTCCCCTGTCAAGATTTGTCATGTCAATATGTGTCACCAGGAGCCCACCTACTACCCCTGTGCCTGGTGCCATGCTCCAAAAGCCCACTAAGATCATTGGAGTTGTCTAATTTTCTTTGCTTTGTTGGAAATAAGGCTGTTTGTAATTAAATATGACCCACAGCACCCCAGTTTCACACAGCCATAAAGTCCCTGTGGATTTCAGTGCCTGTATCCTGACAAGTTGCTCTGGTTTGAGGGTCCAGCAGCCAGCGCTGGCACGGGTCAGGGTCCTGGCTTCAGCAAGAGCCTGCTCTGCAGGAGCAGAAGAGTGTTTGTCATTTTAAATGTGTTCAGTTACCTGGTTAAGGATAGCTCAAGAAATTGACAACTGAAAAAGCAGGATTTTCTCCCTTTTACATAAGAAGACAGCTGAGAAAGAGAACTAGCACTTCTGGAACCTTGAGATCGAGAAAAAAAATCTACATCCAGTTACAAAGAAAGCTTGTTTATTTAATAAATCAGTTTTAATCTTTTATAAAGTATGAGTTCTGTGTCTTGTATATATCCAGTACAGGTAGGATATCTTTATAGTAAAAATACATCTTTAAGCACTTGTTTACTCATTTTTAATTGCAACCTGACCTCCATCCAGTCTGACCCAAGTGAAAAATAATATTGTTAACAAAAAGCATCATTTGATATTTCTAATAGTTTTATTAAAAAGGTAATTAGGAATCTGAATAAATCCATATGGCATACATGCTCACTTGAATAAGTAAAACCGACAGGTACCCTCCTGGTTAGTCATATCTAATTAATTCTAGCAGTTGTTGAAATCAATATTTCTTTAAAAATTGAAATAATCCTGGAGACTCAATGTAAAAAGAAAATAAAAATACCAGATAGGTTTTTAAAATTAAGATTTCCTGATTGCTGAACTCTGTCATTGTTAAAGTTCATCTTTTCAGTCCATCCCTGGAATATACTGTTAATTGTCTCTTCTAAATACAATGCACAGGAGGCAGTTACCCTTTTGCAGCTACATCTCTGGATTCTGCTTTTTCATTGAAAAAATTTCGAAGTCATCATGAAAATGAAGGATTAGTAGCATTGAAAATGAAAGTTTGATGGCATGAACCAAACATGAGCTATGAGCAACTTCTGTTTGTATTTCAGCTCTGGCCTTTTACCCCATTCCCATTTCACTTCTGGACTTGCCTGAAGTGAATAAGGAGAACTGAGCCAAATTATACAGTGAACTTTGTTACTAAAACAGCATGGGATAATACTTTGGACTTGAGAGAGATTTACATTTTGGTTTAGACCATGGTGGCAATGGAATAACAGCATCTCTGTGTCACACAGGGCTTTCTTTGGGCCTATCTGGCACTAGCAGATGAGTTGTTTCATTGCTCCAGCAAGTACATGCTCTCCCACATCCAGCCTACCTTTGTTTGCAGTACCAAGAGTTCAGTTTTGTCCTAAAAGATGTGTTCTGTTACAGAAATACAGTCCGTTCACGCACACCTACCTGCAGCTTGTTTGTATTGCTGGAATGACCTTGACCTGCCTTTTTGTTCCACGCTGGTGAAATATCTGGAGCCCTGCGCTGCACCTTGCTACACAAGTGAGTGCTGCCACATGGCAGGACAGTTCATCGCACATCTGTGTGTGAGCATCAGTGTCTGCCTGCTGGCTGGCACTGCAGGTCTTGCTGTAGACCAACTCTGCTTCAAGGTCATATTGGAGGGGTGGCTTTAGGGTACAGCTCAGTGCATCAAATGCTGTCAAATCCAGTTCCCCTGATCCCTCGC